CCTTGACGCGATGGGAATGCACTCCTTCCTGTGCATGCATGTGTTGTATGTCCGTGTCATGTATGTCTGTGAGCCCACAATATGCTGTGACCTATACCCGATGCTTGAGTCTCAGGTATGGAAATTAAGACCATTTGGTCCCATTATTTCTGCCACCTGAAAACGTGAAGACTGTTGATAACCACAGTGCTTTGAATTAGTGTCCTTATGCTTAAAAATAAAGTTTCTATTTTATGACTGCTAAATGCATACAATATGCCTTGCTTTTCCTTAAAGAACAAAGTGTGTGTTTGTTTTTTATTTGCTGCATGTTCTTCTTTTGGCGTTCTCTCTTTGACAGCAATTACAGAATTTTGGTTCATATGCTTTTCTGCAAAGTGTGTAGGTAAAGGATAGAAAGCTACTTTCATTTCACATTAAAGTTTTTGCCTTCTGCTTTCTGGAAACCTGGAACATATGCTGCTTTTCATATGCTTGTACTACCATGTTAATGCAGAAGAAGAGAAGATGGTGATATCTGATGCCAGGCAGAGGAAGCAAGGAAGACAGAAATCTGTCTTTCCACCTGCTTCTGCCTCCAGAAATCTAGCGGAAAGATCCTACTGAGTCACGGTGGAGCTCCAGGTGGCCAAGTACAAAGTGTTCAGCCCTGCCCGGCACTGAGCAGGGTCATGTGCTAATCCTGGCATCCACTTTCCTCCCAGGCAGCTTCCTCCTTGGGACATCCAAGCTGTACTGCCCTCCTTCTGGGAGAAGGGCTTTGCTCTCCAGCCTCTGCAAACTTTTGGGGCACAAATGTTCACAGCCTGAGATGAGGTGTGGAAATGGTAGTCGTGTATTCTGCTAACTTGCACTTTCCCATGCTCGAGTGAGGGGGGTGCTTTGGTTTTGGTTTGTATTTTTACCAAAGCAGAAGCTGCTGCCTCATGGATCAATGATCCACAGTCCTGCAGCTCTTGAGTGTTTCCCTCGCCTACTTCTCAGCTACCACTCCAGGGTTTCCCTGCCCACAGGGAAGCCTCTCCTTTCTCCAGCTTTTAGTCAAGCTCATAGTCTGGCTGGGTTGGACCACGTGGCTTTGTTTTCCCCCTGCTCCTCATCAGAGAGCCTTCGGGACTGCTTACGTACCACTCCAAGTGCATGCACTTAGAGTGCACGCTTAGAGTTTTTAGACCATCATCACCTTAGGGGCACCTCTCTTTTTAGGGATGCATTTACCTATTTGGTGTGGATAATGATGATTTACAAAATAAATCAGCTGTGTGCTTGGCTTCTGCCTTCACGATCTAGTTTCAAATCAGTCTGCCTTTGGAGCCTTTAATGAGCTAATCTTTCCAGGGGCGTTGCCCTAGTGTCACTTGTTAAAGCTTGGGAGACCTGTTCCAATACCCGTTCTCCACTGAGAGTCAAGCAGCCCTTCTTCTCTCCAGGTCAAGGGGATGAGCCTAGGAGTAGTCAGGAGGAATTCAGTCACCTTGCAGTGGTGCTAGAGCTCTGCATTCATCTCTCCATGATGATCAGTGCTGGCCTGTGGTTAGGGCACGCCACACCACCCGGATGTCATCAGGGCCAGTTCCACTGGGCACGTGGCTGGACAGCTCCCTGCTGGGGCAACAGTATTCCTGGTGGACTAGCTGCAGGATGACAACTCCACCCACCTCAGGTTCTGTCTCACATTGCCCATCCAACTTTTGTTTGCGAAGTTGTCTGGTCTTGGTTTTTTTGATGCTACAGATGTATCTTGGCATCTAGGAAGGCCATATATCCAGCTACATTTCTGGCCTGTTCGCTGCTTGTTGGGTCTGAACAGGAAACTGAAATGCTGGGAAAGGAATGGGTGGTACACAGAGCAAGATCATCTTGGGGGCAGCTTAAACAAACTTGGCATTCCTACTGCTCTCTGAGATGCTATCTCCTAAGCTAACACACAGAAAGGTGATTTCATTGCTCTTCCTGTTACGTCTGTTGGCGGCTCACTTTTTGCACCCTTGTGTTCTTTCAGAGCATGTCTACTGCGGGTCCGGATGGACAACTTGTTCCACTTCATATGCTATTTATGGTCCTTATTTTTAGGCAAATGTCCATGTGCTTATGTCTCCAGTGAAAATTGTTTGGAGACAATCCACAGAATTGTTTTAATTTAAGGATGTCTTTTTAAAGCAACCCAGAGCCATCCTAATTTCAAGTTTCTGATCTCTCCATAAGTTAAGGTTAGGGGTCAGTTCGTAGCTTTAGATAAATTATGCCCCAAAGGTGCTATTTTTTATTCACCTATGTCACATTACACGAAATATCGCTCAACTTCCGAAGCAAGCTCAGAAGTTTTGCTTTCAAAGATATGTGGAGTGTTAAAATTATCATTTTATTTTGAAAGCTGTTTCACGAGGGCTGTGTTTGAAAGAAATTTTCTTATGTTACCAAGACCTCAATTTACTAAATGCTGTTCAATTACTATGCAGCTGCTTCTAGAGATACCTTTCACTGGAACATGCAAGATTTCTCCTGCATAAACACCCAACATTGTCTTCATATGCTGACATGGCTTTTTTGGTCATTAGATATGCTGGGCTCCACTCGGCAGTAACTGCAATTCCTTT